AATAATTCCATTTCCAGCCATGGCCACTCACAACAGCGACCCTGGGGATGAACCTCCCTTGGAAAAGAGCTCTGGGAAACAGCAAATGTGCTTTATACAGTCCCAGGCACTTCATTAATGCTCGCAGGGCTTGCACTGAGCGTGGGCTTGGGGAGCTGTGCAGGGATCCATGTTCCTTTCCTCATTCCCCTTTTCCAGGTGCTTTTTCCTGTCCCTGGAGCCCAGCAGGCTCAGCCTGTTGCTGCTCCATGACTCAGCCCACTGACTAATGCCTGTGTCCCCTGGGTCTCCCTCCTGGAGCACTCTGCTGCTCCCGTTCCCTGATCCCACCTGGAGCACCGAGGATGAGCAGTGCCCAGCTGGGGAGGCTGCAGGGACTGTCCCTGTCCTCTCCCTCTGTGCCCACCTGCAGGATTCAAGTGCCAGGGAAAGCTCAGCCCCTGGAGAGGGACAGCAGCCAGGGAATCTTCCCAAGCCTGCCCAAAAGCAGCAGGGAGAACCAGCTCTGCAGCAGCCACAATCCCAGGGATTTGTTAAACAACACCCCCAGAGGAGCCTGGCTGGTGTCACAGCCCTGCAGGACACCGTCCCCTCCTTGCCAGGACTGCCAGCACCCAGGGATTGTCACCAGGCGTGCAGAGCAGCGTCAGCAGCCCCCAGCTGCACGGGCAGAGGCAGGGTTAGGATGGCACTGCTGTGTTTATCATGCTGGGCCATTTTACCCGTGCTGTGTGACCCCAGAGTGTCCCCAGAGTGTCACAGAGTGTCCCCAGAGTGTCCCCAGTGTCCCCAGAGTGTCCCCAGAGTGTCCCCAGAGTGTCACAGAGTGTCCCCAGAGTGTCCCCAGAGTGTCACAGAGTGTCCCCAGTGTCCCCAGAGTGTCACAGAGTGTTCCCAGAGTGTCACAGAGTGTCCCCAGAGCATCACCAGAGTGTCCCCAGTGTCCCCAGAGCATCCCCAGAGCATCCCCAGTGTCCCCAGAGCGTCCCCAGGGTGTCCCTGCCCCAGGACTGCCACCCTGCCCAGACCCAGGTGCTGCAGCCCCCCGGCCCTTGGCCCCCTGGCCGTGCTGGCCAGCAGGGGACAGCTGCTGATCCCAGCTCCAGGGGAGCAGCAGGAGCCCCAGATCCCCTCAGGGCACTCTGCAGCTGCTCAGGGATCTCTTCCACACCCAGGGAACAGAGATCCAGCTGGGAGCTGGTGCCAGGGGAGGTGCTGGGAAGGAGAAGCAGAAATCAGGCACCTGCTGTGGTTCATATTCCCTAATGATGGGAAGAGCTCCTGGAGAGGGATGTCCCCACACTCCTGCTCCTGTTCCCCTGCCCCCCAAGCTCCTCTGCTCACACCTCCAGCTCAACCAAGCAAAACCCTGGCATTGCCACCCTCAAGCTCCACATTAGGGACTGCAACAATCCCAAAAATCTCCCCCAGTCTAGAAAATTCCCTACAGACCCCTCAGCCCCCTGCTAAGTGAGGCACCAGATGCCAACACTGCCCTGCAGCAGCATTTCCTCCTGCTGATTCCCGAGGAAGCTGCCTCAGGGAAGGATTAACTGGGATGTTTACCTGGATAAATGTTGCTGCCATGGTTCAGGTTTGGGTTCCCTGCTTGCCTCTCCCCCCGGGCTGCTTCTCCTGCACCTCCCTTCAGGTGAGATTTGTCATATTCCCACTCTGGCAATGTTTTTCCCTCCTGACAATACCCTTTAGATAGTGCCTGTGGAGGTGGATGACTCAAGCCTTGACATGATTATTTCCATCCAGCATTTTTTATTAAAAATACTCCTGATGGTTCAGAACGTGAGGACAGGAGCTGCCTTGGAAGGGACGTGGAAAGCTCAGAGTCTGCACAAACTCTGCCATGGTTTTATGTCAAACAACAGAAAATGTGTGTGGAACAGCCCCTCCAGCCTGAATTTACCACTCCATGCACACAAAGCTCCAAGCACATGGCACTTCCATCCACCTGAGACCCCTCCATGCTTCAGTCCCTCAGAGCCAGGTCATGGATGAGCTGCCACTTCCAGCTCTGGTATTTCCCTGGAGTTACAAAGTTCAGCATCTCCTGATTCAGCTCTGGGCAAGCAGATTCCCTTTGTGACAGCTCCCAAACACCCTCACACCACTCCAGACCCACAAATAGCAAACACCCCTCAGCAGAGAGACCTCTCCTCTGCAGCCTCCCCCTGCTGCCAGCAGCGTGCTCAGAGGCAGCAGCATGGAAAAAAAACCAGAGTGGAGCTGGGGATGGCAGATGGATGCTGCAAGTCAGGAAAGTTTTGCAGGGAAAAAACTCCCTGTGCTCTCCTGAGGCCTCACCTGGGAAACTGAACACAGTTCTGGTGTCCCCAGCGTGGGGAGGACGTGGAATTATTGGAATTATTTGGATTATTGGAATTATTGGAATTATTGGAGTTATTTGAATTATTGGAATTATTGGAATTATTGGAGCAAGGCCACAGGTGGCCCTGAAGTTGATAAAGGGACTGGAGCACCTCCCCTATGGAGACAGACTGAGAAATTTGGGATTGTTCACATGGAGAAGGCTCCAGGGAGACCTCAGGGCCTGAAGGGGCTCCTGGAGAGCTGGAGAGGGACTGGGGACAAGGGATGGAGGGACAGGACACAGGGAATGGCTGCCAGTGGCAGAGGGCAGGGCTGGATGGGATTTTGGGCAGGAATTGTTCCCTGGCAGGGTGGGCAGTGCCTGGCACAGGTGCCCAGAGCAGCTGGGGCTGCCCCTGGATCCCTGGCAGTGCCCAAGGCCAGGCTGGACATTGGGGCTGGAGCTCCTGGGACAGGGGAAGGGGTCCCTGCCATGGCTGGGGTGGCACTGGATGGGCTTTAATGTCTCTTCAAGCCAAACTTTTCTGGCATTCTGTGATTCTGAATATTCTATTGGAAAATCTTTCAGAGAAGAGGCAGAGCAGCACTCGGAGCGTTCACCACAAGCCCTGGGCTCCTTCCCCCTTACATTCCTCAGAATCAGAGCCCTTTCCCATTTCCTGCTCTCCCTGTTCTCCTCCAGCCCCCACCTGCAGCTGGAAGAGGGAGAATTCCCGTTTATTCCCCGTGGGATGGGCTGGGAGCGGGCTCAGGCTGCAGCACCGTGCCCTGCAGCATCCCAGGAACCCTTCCCAAGTGAACAGTGCTGACACACACAGCGCCAGACACAGGGAAAAAGAAATCTGCTGGCAAGAACCCAACGGATCAGGCACTTGTTGGAGCCTTGAGCACAGAGGAACGTTATAGAAAATTCCTAGTAACTCCTCCAGCTCCAAACCTATCATAATTTAATCTGTGTGACTGGAATTTCTCAATAGGCTGGAACTCCCTCAGGACCAAAATCTCATTGAAAAAGAAACCAAGGAGAATTTTGGCATCTCTCCCCCAGCCTGGAAGATGAAATGCAAATCTGTTATTGGCATCGAGCTCTCACAGCTTGATCCATCCAAAGAGCTCCAATAGCCTGACATTAACTTCTCAAGGAAGAACATTTTGTTACTCATCCTCAGACAGTTTATGCTTGAAGGCAGAAAGACTAATTCTGTTTGGGGTTTGGGCAGTGAACCTTCCCCAATTACCAGCACAGTCAGGCACTGATCTGGTATTAGAGACAAAACACGGGGAGATGGAGGCTGCTGACTTCATTTGGAATATAAATCCCAGGGGCTGAACGCTGCTGGCACACGGCAGAGCAGGTCCAGCCTCTCCTCTGCCCTGGCCGGGTGGGATGGGTGAGCTCGGTGCCAGCAGCGAGGAACAGGAGCTGGAGCTCCCCGAGCTGGGGACGGGCACAGAGCGAAGGAAAGGATCTCGGTCCGAGCAGGAGGCTGTGAACACACGGGTCACACCGGAGAGCAGCTCCGGGCACCCCGGGGACAGGGAGAGGGGACAGCGGTCCCCCCGCAATGTGGGGACACACGGCTCCAGGGAGCAGCTCTCGCTTCTCCTTCTCCAATTTCCCTCATTAGCCGCTAATTAGCGGAGATCCGCAGGTCCGGAGCGCCGGGTTCCCCCGGGTTCCTCCGGGTTCCCCCGGGTTCCCCAGGCCAGGCGGGGCTGGGTGGACACAGCGATGCTCCCGGCCCGGGAGCGGCACCGGGGCAGGAGGAACCGAGCCTGGATCCCCTTCCCCAGCCGGCACAGCCCGGCTGGATTCCCAGCTCCATCAGGGAAGGGAACCGAGCCTGGATCGCCTTCCCCAGCCGGCACAGCCCGGCTGGATTCCCAGCTCCATCAGGGAAGGGAAGTGAGGATGGATTTGCAGCTCCATCAGGGAAGTGAGGATGGATTCCCGGCTCCATCAGGGAAGTGAGGATGGATTCCCAGCTCCATCAGGGAAGTGAGGATGGATTCCCAGCTCCATCAGGGAAGGGAAGTGAGGATGGATTCCCAGCTCCATCAGGGAAGTGAGGATGGATTCCCAGCTCCATCAGGGAAGGGAAGTGAGGATGGATTTGCAGTTCCTCACCTCCTGGGCCAGGGTAGAGGGGGGACCAAAGCTCCAGGGGGAAACGATGGGACCCAGCACACATGGACAGCCTTCCTGATGGAAGTGCCAGACCAAGGCTGCTCTCTGCTCCCTACCACTGATCGGGAAAATGGGATTTTAGAGCTCTCCCCATCTTCTTAAGCCACAAGCTGCCTCCATGCACCCTCTGACACTGACACGTGGAGAGGAGCCTCCCTTTGAGAAGGCCTCAAAGCAAGTGAGACCTGGTGGGAAGAGCAGACTCAGCTCTGCAGGGTCCCAGGGAAGGCTAAAGACATCTCTGGGACAGTTTGAGCCTAAATTTTCTCATTTTACCCATAAAACGCAGGCTTAACGCTTCCAAAAGCTGCAGAAGGACAAAAGCCGAGACTAAAGGCACGGCACAGCTCCCAACACAGCTTTGCTCAGGGATGTGTCCCGGACCCACTGAGCCATCCCCCATGCATGGACAGCACGGAGAGGGTGCAGAGGAGCCTCCCCCAGCCCCGGGCAGGGCAGCACTCACCATCGAGCTCCTCCACGGAGATGTTGGCCAGCTGCTCGCTGTCGCTGCCGGCCGAGAGCGAGCGGTTCAGGTAATTGCCCTTGTACAACAAGCCAGCTGTCACATGGTGGAATGGCATCTTCTCCCTGCCAGGGAAACGGGAAAAGAGAGGGGGATTGGCGTCATCTGCCCCTGTTCCGTGGGAATGGAGCCTGCAGGAGGGGCTGGAGCAGAGCCCCAGTCGGGTGTGAGAGGGGTGAGCCAGGCAGGAGCTGAGAGAACAAACAGCAAAGCAGCTGCTGCCCCTGGCTGCTGGAGAGGACTGAGGGGAGCATTGGAGCCTTATGGAAACAGGATTTCCCAACAGCCAGGCTGCAGATTTCAGCCGTGGTGATAATTACAGAGAGCAGTGGGGTCTGCACTGCGCTGCAGGTACAAGGTTATAGTGGAGTGCTTGGGTTGGAGGGGACCTCAAAGCCCATCTGAACCAGCCCAGCCATGGCAGGGACACCTTCCCCTGTCCCAGGAGCTCCCAGCCCTGTCCAGCCTGGCCTTGGGCACTGCCAGGGATCCAGGGACAGCTCCAATCACTGCCCAGAGCACAACTCCCCAAGGCATGGAAGGGTCTGGACACCCCTGAGACCCCTCCGAGGGCTCAGCCAAGCTCCCTGAGCGAGGTGTTTGTCACTGCAGGGCCCCAGCTCCAGCCCCCAGCGATGGGAGAACCTCCACGCTTGAGCAGGGCCCCACAAAGAACGTTCCCATCTCCCAGAGGTGGGAGCTGAGGAAAACCCCGCTCCAGGGGAGGCTGGAGCAGGGAGGTGTTTGCAAACCCCACAGGTCCCCAGGGAAGGGCAGGCACTGCCCAGCCAGGAGTGGGAGTTGCTGTCAGCAGCTCTCACCCTGTGATTTAGGGGAGGGGGAGAGTTTGCCAAAGTCAATTGAAATATTAAGAGGAAGATTTGTCATGCCCAGGGCTGGATTCAATCAGCACAAACCCATCCCAGGCCTATTGTACTGCTCATTTCCAGCAGAAATAAATCAGCAGAGTCCCCAGAGGCACCCAAGGGGCTCCCTGGGGCTGGAGTGGCCAGGCCAGGCTGGCAGTGTCTCTGGGAGCCAGGGCAGGCTGGCCCACCCCAGGGACACCCAGGGACACCCAGGCACACCCAGGGACACCCAGGTTCTGTGCCCCAGGAGGGAGGTGCCACCTCTGGAATGTGCCCCAGCCAGCACCACCATCACCAGCAGCATCTGCCCAGCCTCAGCCAATAACCCAAATGGATGGACAATACACACAAATCCATCTGGGAACAAAACCTTCCTGCCTCCCCGGGCTGGGAACAGCCCTGACAGACCCCCAGGAGCAGAGCAACCTGGAGCCACGGGTGAGCACAGAGGGAGAGCCAGGAGGCTCCTCTTGCACTGCTCAGCACGTTCCAGGAATTTCCCTGGCAGTAATTATGTAAATAAATCCTAATCGTAACTTTAAGTATTTTTATTTGGGAGCCAGTTCGCTCCAGCAGCACATTAGAAACGTAAACAAGGGGTTCTGTTTCATTAAGCACATCTGTAATTTCCCAACCCCTGCCAGTTCATGGGTTTCACTCTGAGACGTCGCTCCCTCTGACACCTGCTGGGCACTGAAGCAGGAGCTGAACCTGGCCAAGGGACACTCCAACACAATTCCAGCTCTGGGATCCCTGGAGAGACACTGCAGCCCTTGGCACCGCCTTCATTCCTTTCCAGCCCACCACAGACCATCCAGGCAGCAGCAATTCCTGTTTTCTCTGGATCATCACCCCCCCAGGGTAATCCCAGGGTTGGAAGGGACCCACAGGGGTCATCGAGTCCAGCTCTTGGACAAGGCTCCCCAGGATCCTTCTCCAGGATGGAACTGGGATCAGTTTCCATGTGCAGCCCAAAGGATGCCCGGGAATCCATCCTGGGGAGTCCATCCTGGTTTTCCAGCCTCAGGCATGGAACACACGACATCCATGGATGGATCCTGTGTCTGCCCTCCCCACGGAGCTGGAATTGTGTGGATCCCAGGGGTGGGAGCACCCTGGCAGGATCCCAAGCTGGATATCGATCTCTGTGGTGTCAAACAGAGCAGGCAGGATGGGGGAGAGGAGAAAATGGAGATTTCCAGCTCTGCCACAGGCTGGGATGAGCCAGTCTGAGCTGCAGGAATGGACAGCAAACCTCCATGGATGCCACACAGGAGTGCAGCCCCAGCACAAGCTTTGTCCTCCCAGCCCTTTCCCAGGGCTGAAAGGAATACAGGAATGTATTGAAAACCCAGGAACAGCCAGATGGTTGGGAAACTGGAACTGGGGCTGGGGAGTCCCTGAGGTCACTTTCAAAGCCTTTAAAAATTCATCAGATGAAGTGACGGTGTTAAAGATGCTCCTCCCTGGGCACAGCAGTATTTGAACATATTGAATTTGAATATATTGAATATTTGAAAGCAGAGCAGATCCAGAGGGGACAGCAGAGCAAACAGAGCCCTGGGAAACTCCTGGACTGTCTGATCCTGCATGAGGCACCAGCCAGGGGACACCACCAGCCTCCCCAGGAGGCTCCACTGCCATTCCTGGTCCCTTTCCACACCTCTGTCCCTGCTGAGGGCCATGGTTAGGCCTGGCTTAACCTCTGGCATGGGAAAGGCTGAGCTGGACTAAATCCCCAGAGCTGCTTTGAAGCCAGCACAGTTCAGGGAAGACAAAATCCTTGTGCTGGGAAGAGTCACTTTGTCCCTTGTCACCTGCACTCCCCTGCTGCTAACAATAGCCTTAAAGATTTTTTCTCTTTTAATTTACTTTGTGCACAAACTTGGCACGTGGAGCGCAGTCTGAGCCCGAGCTGCCGCCTGCAGGGCTCCAGGGGCTGCTCTGGGCTCGGGGGGAGCTGGGAGGATGCAGAGCTCGCCAAGGTGGGAAGGCTGAAGCTGCAGATATGAAGTGCCCGGGTCTGGTTTAATCAAGCTCAGCTTAAGGGTGTGAAGAGAGCCAGGGCAGAGCAGGCTCAGGCTCGTTCTGCAGTACAAACCAAGAGAAGAGGCCTTGGGATGGCTTAAAACAATTCCTTTAAAAGAAAGTCCCAAAGCAGAGCAGGGAGGGCAGTCCTGCAGGAAATCTGTGTTTCCTCACCTCTGATCCCAACCTTTATGGATCCCAGAGCCCCACACCCCCAGGAAGGCACATTTGGGATATTTATAAACAGGAGAGAGAGCAGAGGCTCCTGCTGAGCTGCACTGGACACTCTGGGCAGGTTGGGAGAGGCAGATCTGCAGGCTGAGAGTGCAGTGAGCCCTAAAATCCCTCTGAGCTTCACACAGGAGAGCTCCCACCTCCCTGGCTGGCTCTCAGAAGTTAGACCCGGCTTTTCCACACACATCTTCAGCAAATTAATCCGTCCAGACAGATCCCAGAAACCTTTCACAAGGATTTATGGGCTGCAAACACGAGATCTGAACCCACACACGTCAGCTTCACTGAACATCTGCTGCTAAAATCCAGGTAAAATCCAAACTGACCTCCAGGGACCATTCCCAGTCCTGACCCATCACGTCCCCACGTGCCCTCTGCACACCTGCCTGGCACTGGAGATCCAGCTGACCATTTCTTGGCACCAGCCTAAGGAAAGTTCCTCCAAACCGGGCAGGAAATGCAGATCTGGCACCCACTGGGGAGGGACAGCAGCAATAAAGCTCCTCACGGTGATCACTGGGCAGAAAACCCCCACAAACAGATCATTCTCAGCACTCAAAGATGTAACTGGGAAGGAAAAAAAATCTCCTCTGCAAGGCAGAACACAAGACCTGAGTGACAAGCTCGTGTAATGTGCGGCACCTCAGGAGCCGCAAACCTCCGCGCTGGGGAGCTACAAAGCGCTCGGAGCTTCAGAAGCTTTGTGCTGGGGCTGTTTCCCACCTTCCACGGTAAATCCAAAGGGAAAAAGGAGAAGGGCACCTGAAAAGACATCTCTAAACAACTGCTGCTGCTTTGAATTGCATGGAGAGGGAGCGCCGGGGGTGCCAGGGCAGCTGCGAAATCCAACATTTCTGTCTGGGAGCTGCACGTGTGAGCACACAGGGGAACAGGGAAATAAATGGCTGATTGTTATTTCTGAAGCTGGGCTGGGGCTGATCCTCAGCTCAAAGAGCCGGGAGGAGAGGGCTGCGAGGAGGAGCCCATAGCTCCGTGTCTGTCCCCAGGGCAGGAGCGGAGCTCACAGGGGGATAAAGCCCCTTCCCACCCCAAACAGCCCAATTAATGAACCAGCACCACTGATCACCACAATCCCCTCCAGCCAAGCCCCTCTCAGCTCCCAAACTCATCCTCACCTTCTGCAGACAGAAATCCCCAGATTTCTGCTGCCCCTGCTCGTGTTTAACCAAGATTCATAAAACATTTCCATCCTCCAGGTTTGGGAAGCCTGAGGTGATGTTAGAAAGTGAAAAAAGAAAGCCAGCAACACAACAGAAATCTTTAACCTCTTCTCTAATAATTCTCCTGAAAACATGAAAAAAATCAGTTTGGGAATGAAAGTTGGAGGGTTTTATGGCAAAGGAGATCAAACAAACCTGCCAGGAGGGACAGGTCCAGCCTGGCCCCAGGGATGTGCTGCTGGAGCTCGAGGGTGGAAACCCAGGGCTGCTGGTGGATTGTTCCCCACGCTGGAGCCTTTCAGCTCCTCCTGGGCCAGGAGCTTCCAGCACTTCCAGCTCACCTGCTGCCCATTTTCCCTGCCCAGCCCATCCTGTCTGTGCTGCAAGGGGAGCCAGGACCACCCTGTGCCCAGCAGGGACCCCTGCCAGCAGGGATGGGGGCTCCTCCCGGCCCCTGCCCAGAAATCAGCTCCTCCAGGACGGACAAAGCAGGGAGCAGGATCAGCTGAGCAGCCAGAGCAGCTCAGGGGTGCCAGAGAGGCTTTGGAGCATCGCCCAGCCCTGCCCAGCCCCTCACACCAGCTCCACCCTGCAGCCCTGGCTGCTCACACACAAAACCAGCCCAATTCTCTCTCTCTGGAATGCTCAGCTCGGTTTTTTCCCTGGGTACAACATGAGATCGCTCAGAACTCAATGATGGGAACGAGGTCCTCGTCAACAGCAAGAAAAACAAAATATCCCAGAGCTTTGAGC